CCAATTCCTACACGGAAAAGTCAGGCAGCCCTTCCTGACAAACATTTGCAGGAGCTGTGCTCACCTCTCTGTGTCACTGCCCATGCCTGGCACCACTGGTGGGTGTTGAAAAGGCACAAAAATGGCACTCAACCTGCAGGAGCCTCTGGTGCAGCTTCAGCGAGGGGATGTCCTTGTCCTGCTGCCATGTGCATGCAAAGCTCATTCATTATTTTTCATCTCTCCCCAGCCACTGATTAAAGGGGCATCTCACCCAATTCCCCATCCCCAGCAGAGTCCTCTCCTTCTCTGCTTTGGCAGCTGTTTTTCCTTCTCCTCCTGGCCCATTTGCCTGCTGTTGTCTGGCTAATTATTTTTACAAGGCTCAATAATTGCTGCAACCTTCCCCGTTTTTCATCTCCTTCCCGCAGCAGTGTTTGGCAGGCAGGGAGCTGCTGCAGCAGCTGTGCTCCTTGGCTGCCCACCCTCCTCCTGCCGGGAGCAGGGTGCCAGAACAAGGCTGTGCAACCTAATCCTCTGTTTGCCTTTCCCTGGGCTCGTCATTAGCCAGAGGAGCAGCTTTGGGAGTCACTTAGCAACGTGCCAGCAAAGCCAGGCCCTGATGTCACCAGCAGAAACAGCATCTCAGAAACACCCAATTGTCTCATGGCCTCAGCCAAAGCATCCGGGGCCATGGAGCTCCATTCCTCAAAAACTGCTGCTTCTGGAGAATTACCTGGGACTCGCTGGCAGGTGAGGCAGCAGCACAGTGATTTCAGATTAAAAATAATCTGCCATTCCTCAGTGATCACACTGGCTAGAGCACAGGGCTCCTGCTGCCTCTCAACGTGCAGCATTGAACAAGAGCACAGATCAGACACCAAAGTGACACAGGCCTGTGGCAGAGCAGCTCCCTCAACCCTTGCAGTTATTCACCTGTGAAGATGAATTACAGATTTTTAGGCAGCTTTCTTCATGTTTTGCCATTTACTTATGGTCAAACAAGCCATTTCCCCTTCTCAAAACAGCAGGGAGGACACATGGCAGCAAATACAGAAATTACACTGACAGCACAGTTCCTAATGCAACTTCTTGGTGTTTTAAGAATGCTGTCAGGCCCCTAAAAACAGAAGTCACAGCTCTTGAGAATTTTCAGTTCTTTGTGAATTTTCAGATAATAGTTGCCACTACTCTCAGTTTGGGAACCATTTCCCTGAGAGTTCGCTCTTGTCCAGCTGTGCAAGCTGCCCAGGGTCATGGAAAGGGAGGGCAGCTCCTCACTGCTGCTCTTCAGGCCAGATCCTTCCTCATTTCACACACTTGACAAGCCTAGACTGCCTGGTGGCTTTCCAAGCATCAAATCCCAGATTCTGCAGAACTAGCACCAGTGATTCAACATTATCCTGACACTGAGTACCCCTGGCTGATTATCACAGGACAAATTCTACATTTGTCCACTCAAGAGCAACTGAGGAAAACAGCTCAAAGAGGAAGGTGAATGGATAATTCTGCTGCACAGCACCAAGCAGGGTGTTTATGGGGAGCACTCAGACACCACAGAGCCCCTCCTCGGAGAGCCACCTCTGTGGGACAGGATCACACCTGGGCAGCACACAAACACCCCCTGCCTTTTCCAGAGCCTGCACCCAGACCTTTTGCAGGTGTTTCCAGGGGTTTCTTCCAGGCAGCCAACCGCCAGCCCTGTCCTGCTCTCTTGCAGCTTGTTGTTTCTAAGAGCAGTGGTGTGAAAAAACAGGAAGCCATGCAGAGAAGAGGAGAATACAGATTGAGGCATGAAACTGCAGTAGCCCCAGCTCCCCCTGCACTCACCCCACCCCCTCTTCCCTTCCCACCCCCTCACCACAGGCCGCATTCTCGATGAGAAATGCTCAGCCCTTGACGGGAAACCGGGTACGGAGCTGGGCGGCCGGAGAGCTCGGCAGGAGGGGAAACCCAGCAGCAGCCAGGGCAGTGCAGATCCCCGGGCCCTGCTGGCCACCAAGCACCAGGAATGGCTCAGATCAGACTCTGCTCCACACCTGCCTCCATTCGAGGCTTCAAGGAAAAGTTTGTAACTCCCCTGTCCTCAAAAGTTCAGATTTGCTGCTTCAGAGATCCCCTGAGGACCATTCTGCAGGCTGAGCTCCATCAGTGGTTTGCTGCAATCCAAACAGGTGTTTGCACCATCCAAATGGTGTTTGCACCATTCTATGCCCATGTAATTGTTTAAGGAATAAGGATTCTGAGTCACATCTCTTTATTGAAGAAAGCCGGCAGATCCTCTTGTCTACAGCTCTCTATTCACAGCTCTCCCAACTCACCCCACGCTGGCAAATTGTGACACGGATTTTATGTTTTGCTGGACTCTTCACTGCTCACACCCTTATCTCTTCAGTCTCCAACACAAGGCTGAGAGATTGAGAGGGTGGAGATGAAGAAAGAACAAGAAGTTGTGGCAGAAACATTGGTAGGGGACAGAAAATTCAAGCAAAAACACGCCAGCACCTCAGCTTCCAAGGCATGTTAAATATTCCCAGCTTCACCCAGCACATAACCATGGCTGTGCTATGTCAACCAACTGTCTGGATAAACCAGGAAAGGAGGAAAGGTCTTGGGAATCCTGGTTGCTGAAAGCCAGGACAAAGCCAAGCGCCACACACAGCTTGGCCAGTGCTCCAAAATCCAAGAGAACACAGGTGGGATGAACTTGCAGAGCCCGGGCCACAGAGGGGGCACAAATGACCTGGCACATCCCGGAGCCAGTGACAGCCCGGGATCAGAGCAAGGCATCAGCACACAGGCATCAGCACTGCACCATGCTTGGGTTTGTGAATCAAGTCTTTTACATCTGTACTAACCCAGCAGCATGCAGATAAGTTGTTCTGCTTTTCTACACAACACGTAAAACCATTGTTAATCACTAAAAGCAAGGATGAAGGACAGGCCTGAGGCCACGCAAAGAATGAGACAGTCTGATATCTGCTGGTGGGAAAGGGAATGCTCTCTTTCCTTAGTCCTGCCCAAAGCCTCTCTGCTGTTCACAAGGGATGTGCTGGGCTGGGGTTTATTTATAAAACCTATAAGAATGTTGATCTAAGGCTATAACTCGCAGAAAAATAAGCAGAGGTCAGTTTTCTAAATGCAGTCACAAACCCCAGGGAGAATCTTACCAACAAGGACCCTGGGCTTTCAGAGGGAAGCAGAACTCAGGAGAGGCCCCAGCGCTTGTGAGCTGCCAAGAAAACCGTGCAAACCATGAGCCATCCCCTGGCCCAAGTGCAGCCGTGCTGCAGCTTTCTGTTCCAGCCACAGGAGCCAGGCAGGGTCTGCAGGGAGCTTCAGGGTGCCTGAATGAGCCTGAGGGGGATTCCCAGCTCCTCTCTTTGCTGGCAGAGGTAGCCACCCTTCCCAGGCTCTTAGATTTTTTTTTGTCTTTTTAAATCACTGATGAGGAAAGATGCTCCTACAAGTGGTGATTCAGAGCAGGGCCTTTATCTAAATGAATCATTCTTTGTGAGAGACCATCACCGCTGACAACCGAAGGAGCCTCTGGAGAGGGCAGACAGCAGTGGTGGTTAACTCTTGTGTGGCACTGGCATCAGGGCACCCCTGTAAGAGCCGTTTGCTCGGCTCATTATCCAAACCTGCTCCAACAAAAAGCCGAGGCCGGTGCAGCTGGAGGAGGAAGAACACGCAGCCTGCAACCCAAACGTTTAACCCGCAAATAACTCAGCCATGGCCATCCCCACGGTTCTGCTCAGCAATGCCACGAGGTCCTCCTCACCCCAGGGAGAATCCCGCAGGCCCAGCGCGATGGGGACGCTGCTGGGCGGGCAGGAGGAGCCCCGCAGGTGCGGACGGCGCTGACCATTCCCATCTCCATTCCCGTCCCCCACTCCCACCCGCGGGCAGACTTCCAGAACCTCTCTTTGGCGCAGCTCCAGCGCACATTTACGGCTCCGTTTTGCAGAGGGGCGCCGGTGTTTGGCGGGGAGCCCCTTTCGGCCCCACGAACCATGCCGGGGATGCGGCACCCACGCCCCATCTAGCGGCAACCGCGCAGGGAAAAGCTGCGGAGCCCAGAGAGCGTCCGGCAAAGCGCTCGTCTGGCGGCAAGCTGCTGCAAATGGCAGCAAACAGCTGCAAAAAAGCGCTTTATTGTTGTGTTCCCCCCCTGTCTGCGCTGGGCCCTGCAGCCCATCGCCGCCACGCAAAGCACTGAGGGACGAAAATTCCTCACTGGGAGCCCACAGAAGCCAAAGCTGCCCGAGCGCCTGGCAGCCGGGCAGAGCCCCTGGGGAGCACCCCGGGCTGCGAAATTCGCTTTACACACTTACAGTCCCTCATTTTTTAAGAGAACAATCCCGGCAGGAGCTATCGTTAGTCAAGGGCACAAAAAAGCAGCTCTGCCCATGCCTTTGGTGGGACCTCACCCGAGGCAGCCCCGCAGCTGAGGGCACCGGGCCCCAGCCTGAGGGAACAAACGGAGCTGGGGACAAACTGAGCTGGGGACACCGGCCTGGGACTGAGGGGACAAACTGAGCTGGGGACAAACTGTGCTGGGACTGAGGGGACAAACTGAGCTGGGGACCCCGGCCTGGGACTGAGGGGACAAACTGAGCTGGGGACCCCGGCCTGGGACTGAGGGGACAAACTGAGCTGGGGACCCCGGCCTGGGACTGAGGGGACAAACTGAGCTGGGGACCCCGGCCTGGGACTGAGGGGACAAACTGAGCTGGGGACCCCGGCCTGGGACTGAGGGGACAAACTGAGCTGGGGACCCCGGCCTGGGACTGAGGGGACAAACTGAGCTGGGGACCCCGGCCTGGGACTGAGGGGACAAACTGAGCTGGGGACCCCGGCCTGGGACTGAGGGGACAAACTGAGCTGGGGACACCGGCCCGGGACTGAGGGGACAAACGGAGCTGGGGACAAACTGTGCTGGGACTGAGGGGACAAACTGAGCTCAGGACACTGACCTCACAGAGAAATGGCCACGGCTCGGCTCGGCACAGCTCAGCTCAGTCCTTCCCGGCCAGGCGGATGATGTTGGGCTGCTCCAGAAACAATCCCTGGTCAGGCACAGAAGTCTGAGGAAACCCCCCAGAGCTGCACGGGTGAGGAAGATGAGGAGGTGAGGGGCACTGCCCACAGCCCCCGCCCCTCAGCTCACCTGGGCGCAATCACGACCGGCCCTTCAGAACTGGGCACAGCTGTTACTCATCTGCAGGAGACGGTTTTCTTCTTAAAAAAAACCAAAAAAATAAAAAAAAAAAAAAACAAACAACCAAAAAATCCAAAAAACCAAAACGGGGGGAAAAAAACAAACCAAAACCAACCCCAAAGCCACCACCAAAAGCCCCAGCGAAGCCCTCTTACAAAGCCCCCTCCCGGGGCCGCTCTCAGCCCGCTCTGGGCCCTCCAGGCTCCTGAGGAGGTTCCATGCACTGGACCTGGGCACTGAAAACCCAGCCGTATTTCCAGCACTGTTTTCATCGTGTTGGTGGAATTTAAATATGACGCTTAGAATCAGTTTTTAAGTATAAAAGTTAAAAAATAGCAACTCTAAAACGGAATTTCAGTTGTATCATCTTTCAAGGAAACCATCAACAGAATTTAAATGCTTTCAGAAGGCACAACTCTTAGGAAATACTCTTTATTAATATAACATACAACAAGTGCTGCTCCTCACATAACAGTATTTGAACTCTTCTCTCTCATAAACTTAAAACGTGGTTCTTATTGGAAACATATTTTGTCTCTGAACCCTTATTTTGGGAGAAAAGCATAAAAACTACTCCCCCTGAAATCAAAAGGGAAGCGATCCTTACGCAGTAATTACAGCATTGTTTATAAGAAACACATTAACAATGAACGTATGCAAACATCCATAACCAGCAACAATATAGAATAACCCGTATGAAAAATCCCATATAAATTCACTTTAAGTACAAACCCACAAGATTTCCAGTATTAATCCAAGTATCTTTGGTGTTTGTTGGTGTTTAAGGTATTTTCCACCCAAAACAGACCTATATTGCTTTTCCATAGACCTCGAAAGAAAAGCTCCAAAAATTAAGGACACTTGAAAAAATAAGTTCCCTGCATGAGGCAAGGACTGGCCTGCGCAGGATGCCCCGCGTGCCTTCAGAGCCGGAGGACGGCGGTACTGCTCGGTGCTGCAGCTCCTCCTCAGGCTGTCTGGAGGCTCGAACACGGCAATTTCCCCAGATCCGAACGGCGGGAGCAGCGCAGAAGCCCGGTGCGCTCCCCTCGGGGCGGGCAGGAGCGGGGCCGGGGCCGCATCTCTCAGCGCACGGCGCTGCCCGCAGCTCTCCGGGCGGGTTTCGGTGACTCTCAGGAGCCCGGCGGCGATGCGGCAGCGCCCCGAGCCCTGCCCGGGCTCTCATCGGAAGGCGGGGGACAGCCTGGCCCCCCGGTCGCCGGTCACCGCCGTGTCCGGCTCGGTGGGGCGCAGCGCCCAGGCCGGCAGCGGCGGCCCCGGGGGCACGGCCGGGCTCC